GCGGCCATTTGAAGAACGACTCGTGCTTGATTTTATGGAGCAACTTGAAGATGGGTTCCTTGAACACAGTGTGGACTCCTTTGGACGAACCCCCTGGAGGGGGTAGCAATCCCTTTCGGGGAATATCTTCCCGCTCCTTCTCTTTTCTCTTAGATTGGAGGGCTCGGCCTTTGCTGCTTCCCATCTCGTCCTCAACCCTCGAGTATTTGTTTATCCGGGCCATTAGTTCCCCCATATCCGAGGGAGTCTTCTTGGTCAGGGATCGGTACAGGTCCGTGTCCCTTGCCAAGCCGAGCCGGAAAGATGCTGCTGCCATGACCTCCGAGCAGCCTTCTACCTCATTGACCTCTTCCCAGTATCGGATGGCGTACTGGCGAAGAGTCTCGGATTCCCTCCGTCTGAGGGTCAGCAATGATCCAATGTCTTTAGGGCGCTTACTCCCCGTAATGAATCGAGCCAGGAACTGCCTAGTCAATTCCTTCCAGGACCCAATACTGTTGGGGGGAAGCACCTCGAACCACTTCATCGCAGAGTCCCCCAAGCTCATAGGAAACACTCAGCAGAGAAGCCGTTGGTTTGAATGATAGAGGGACATCATCTGCTTGTATTGCCTGACATGGGCTTCGGGATCGGACCGCCCGTCATAAGTTTTGAACCGCGGCACGACAAACTTTCTTGAAACCTCCATCTCACCGATCTCCCTCGTAAAGGGTGTTTGTATGACTTCGTCTTCGGCCTCATCCTGGGCAGCCTTACCCTTTCTCCTGGAGTCTAACCGGGCTCTGAGATCAATTTCTTCCCTGATCGGATGCCTTCTGAAGTCCTTGAGTTCATCGGTAAGCCCCTCATTTCCTGGGCGTCGTGTGGATTGGGTTGAGTCCTCCTCGGATTCATCTCCCTTCCTCCGTTTAGACAAACCTCGCCGGAGGTCGTCCAAGGCCAATGGTCTTTCTTTCCTTGAATGGTTGTCATGATGATGCTCGCCGGCTCTGGGTCGCTTTGGGGCCCTAGAGCTTTCTGCTTTGTTGTTTCGGTGGTTTCTTAGATCCTTCGTTTTCGCCTCCCGGGCGGGAAGCCCACGAGAAAGGAATGAATCCCTCGATCCTTCGCCAGAGGCGGCAAAATCATTGAGCCAGCTTAGGACGTTTACATTGTCCTTTTTCAGCTGTCGTAATCTATTGTCGAACTTTTCTTCAATCACCTCTGCCAGCTGACGAGCCAAGGGGGCTGATCCCCTGACCTGATTCCCATACTGGTTTGAGGGGTAACCCCTCTTGACCGAGTAGAGGCATTTTTATTCATATCGGTGTGATCCTTCCCTCCGTGATGACAGGGAGCTTGTAACTCGAGACTCCTTTGGTGAGGGTCTTTCTCTTTCTGTCGAGTGTTCACCATGGTCACTGTTCTTTATAGAGAAAAAACTAGGAAAACTAGTCGTTTCCCACAGACGGCGCCAGATTGTGCGTGCAAGATCCTGCACAATATAAAAAATGAGAACAGATCTCTCCCTTTGTGAACTCGAGTGAGCCGGTTGAGTGACCAACCACGCTGCTTGGAACAGCCTGCGAGGTCCGGTGGTAACCTGGAACGGCAACGGGAGACCCTAGGGGAGCGAAAGAACGATCCAGTAAGGCTGAAAGAGGTTCCTGGAACAAAGAAGAACAAGTTAGAAGGGCGCCGGAGTGTTTTCCGGCGTATCCCCTCCGACGATCTAGTCAGTCTTTGAGAAAGAGAGAGGAAGGAGAAAACACTGAGTGTGTATTGTAGTAAAGAGTTTTTTGTTGCATACCCGTCTTGCCTTTTGCAAGGAGTATTTATACCTCAAAAGCTCATGATTGCTGTCAGTGTAGTCAGTAGGTGATCATTAGGTACAGGCAGTGTGCGCACTGATTCTGATGAGGAATGTCTTCTCTTCTTAACTGCTCGGGGTCCCGAGCAATCAATGCTGGGTCATCGGGATGCCGACGGTACAATGTACTCCTCTCGGGGAGGATGCAATAAATGCTCTGTATTAGGAGCATTTATTGCCTTTCATTTCCGAGCCTTACCGCATTGAATGCGGTCTCATCAAGGGAATGGTGCAATTAATCGTTTGCTTTCCCAAGTCGCGTGTCAGCAACGGCATGCGGTTTCTCTGTCTTCGATGTGATATCATATGCCACGCGTCCATCCCCCACTGGCTGTGGACCCTGCATTCCAGTACGTTCTGACATTAATTGTGTAAGACGAGGTCATGATGAATAGTCTAGACTAACCTAGGCTAATGACTTGTATGTCAATAGCTTATCCTGGAGTAGAGGAGGCGTCCAGGACGGGTACACCTCGGCACCGAGGAAAGGCTCATCTCGGAACCGAGGGGGGATACCGACCGAGGTACCATATCAGACCGAGGCTACGTGTTGGTTGTAAAACGTACTGAATGCCATGAATATGACGAGTACCTCGGGGGCGAGGACCTTTATGCGCCGATGATGCTTGATCTTAGCAACAGTATTTTGATAATAACAAAAACACGTATCTTCATCATGGAACATTTCAGAAAAATCTCAAGAAGTATCAACATGACTGAAAGGGACACTATGTAGTAATGGACCCTGCAAAGCACATGCCGAGTATTCCCTGAATGTCCAAAGACATTGACATCTCCCTAGCCAAACCATAGAAGATGTGACATTTTTATCATCCCATTATTCATTCCAAAATTTAAACCTAACCCTCCGAGACTTTTTTATGCCATTTAAGTTTGTATTTTGATAATTTTTTGATTATGAATATTTTAATTTTAATGTGAATGATATCAGACTAAAAATGCGTAAATTAATTCAAACATTTCTAACTGTTAAACCAAAAAAAAAACACTCAAATTTAGTTTAATTTCCTCCCTCTTCCCCTCGGTCCCGATTTATTGTCATACATTTCTCAAATTTGGTTTAATCACCTATCGTGTATTTGAGTGTGACCACATATATATTATCGATTTTATTTGAATTTTTAATGGGTAATTTAACATTAAAAAAAAAATTGAAAGAAAATATGACGAAGGGGTCTGATTCCCCATCTCTTACCTCTTACCTCTTATCCAGGGCATGAACAGTCACCACAGAGTAAGCGAGGTTCACACTCACCCACGTTTCAAAATGGTGTCGGTCCCTATGATCCTTCCAAAGCCTTTGCTTCACATGTTAGGGATATGAATGAGTCCTTTCATTTGATCAACTCGTACCATACATATCCATGCTCGTATATAATTAAGTTTTGTGTAATTAATAAATATATTGTCATGTATAATTTTTTCCTATCTTATCACCGAATTTATGTCGACCCATAAGCTGTTCAGATTGACCAACTTGGTTTTGAACTGAGCTTGTTATGACAAAGTTCAGGCCTCATTGAGCCTATTTGTTTTGTGGGTTTGGAAGATCGGTGTTTAGGGATCGAGGAAAATAGTTTAAAAGATTCTCGAACCCTGTATTTGGACTGAAGTTTCAATTCTGGATTACTAAACTCAATCTGCAATTGGCCCAGATATTAAACTTATGATCATGAATTTCGTCAAATCTAAAAGAGTTTGTTTGGATGAATTTCGGGGAGGGGTTTGGATTGGCTTCTCCAAACCCTTCCAAACTCAAACCCTTCTTTATAAATATGAGATTTAACATTCAATTCGGTTCATACCCATGTTTGATATGTAACACATACACAAGTAAGACCCACGGATATATCATAATTATTAATAACTATTTGTCATATAAATGATAATTTTACCCTTGATCAATCTAACTTATATCAATTTTAAGAGGTACAATTGTATTTTGAATCTTTAACCCCTTACCCATCTTCCCAAACACACCCCTTTTAGGTTTGACGAAATCTATGATCATG